TGCTTTGGCTACACCTACTCCACTCGCTGGCATCAACGCACCCGCATCGTGGGATGTTGGCTATCTGAAGCAACAGATTTTAGCTTTGTATTTCAAAATAAGGTTACCCCATTCCACCACTATTATATAGATATATTGTGGATAGGGTTAATCATCACTATGCCTAAATCCACTGTTTAATAGGTTACCCCAAATAAACTGACAGATATGGGATAGATCATAGGGTACACCAGAGTCCACTTATTCAACATATGGTTCTTCAGGCACACCTGACACCCATGTTTCTTCTTGATATTGGCCAGCATTCCATTATACGTTGGCAAGTATTTTGTTGTCGATTGGAAGGCTGGATGCCCACTGGGAAAACCGACCTGTTGAGCTGGTGAATTTTCTGTTTGTTTGCCATGTTGATGGAAAATATATATGACGGTATGATGAAAGGCAGTTCACCTAACAAGTTAAATTTGACAAGTTGTTTCCTGTTGCCATACACCCCAACTAATATTCACCCTGAGAATCGGCTCTCGTGGCAAGGTCGATGTTTTTCCTGCCGCGATGGTAAACAAGAATAAATACGAGTGATCCGTTGTTAACCATTGTTAGCCAAATTCTATTTTATAGCCATGATCAATCGACCCCCATGATGAAGCTTGTTAAACAAAAATGATCAGCCATTATTAGTAATTATTAGCACTAAGCAATCATTAATTATTCACCACTAACCACTTTTAGCTTCATCGCCGCCCCCATGATTCACAATGATTCAGGCAATGATATTTATTATTAACACTTATTAACCACTATTCACCACCATTAACTGCTACTACCCTCTGGTAAACAAACATACATAGCTATTGAAAATGACCATTTATAGTTGATTTACCCATTAAAAATGGTGAATTTCCATAGTTTTTCCCCACATTGACGTGTGGGGTGTCTGTTTTTAGTTCTGTATCCGCGCCTCCTCCTTCCCGTCCTCCTCACTCACTCACTCACTCCCTCACGCACGCACGCACTCACTCACTCACTCACACACGCACACACACACACACCCCTCACTCACTCACTCACTCACTCACTCACTCATTCACTCATGCACTGGCGTTTCTTGGTCTCCGCCGCTCTGCCGGTGGCTTTTGCGTGGCAGGCGCGGCACTTGGTGCTCTGCAAGGGGTCGGATGTACGCCCTGGCGTCCCTTGGTCTCCGGTGGCTTTTGCGTCGCAGCCGCGGCACTTGGTGCTCTGCAAGGGGTCGGATGTACGCCCTGGCGTCCCTTGGTCTCCGCTGCTCTGCCGGTGGCTTTTGCGTGGCAGGCGCGGCACTTGGTGCTCTGCAAGGGGTCGGATGTACGCCCTCGCGTCCCTTCACTCACTCACTCACTCACTCACTCACATTCTCATTCACTCACCTGACTCACCCACCATCACCCCTCCATCACTCTTATACTTCCTCTTCCCTTCTTGCTTTTCTATGCTCAGTCTAAGTCTTGAGAAGTTGGTAACATGTGGGGTTATCCGGTCCTATAATTTTGTATGTTTAGCAGAGGGTAACCCTACTTTTTTTGGACCCCGCCGTCCGTTTCGTCCTAGGACTCCACTGAGTTGGCGCTCACCATCGCCACTTTCGCCATGGTTGGGTCCCTGGAGCCGACCTGAGGAAAAACGAAGACTCTTTCTATGGGGATATGTATATGTATATATATATATACGTATGTATATGTATGTATATATATATATATACGTATGTATATGTATATATATATATATATACGTATGTATATATATATATACGTATGTATGTGTATATATATATATATACGTATGTGTATATATATATATACGTATGTATATAGAGAGAGAGAGAGGTTGTCTGAACATATGGTATCCAAAATTTCATTGGTTGATCATCATAATCCTCATTCAATGGCCATTTGAGGGGTATACCCCATAGCACTTTGTCGCCAACCACAACACGGCGATCTGTCCTATCTGTCCAATGGGAAAATGCACTTTTTCCCTCCACCTCTATGAGTAGGTCATTATTCCACAGGAGTCTCCCTCGGAAGGCTATGGAATTGCTGAGAGAAAATCCTTCTTTCTTTTGAGGACTGTGGTAGCGCAATGATGGGCATTTTATGTGACATGAATCATGTCCTTGTTCAGTGGTTCTGACATAGTCATTCCACGCAACAATTCTATGGAGCCAACAACTTGTGCATCTAGATAGATAGATAGATAGATAGATAGATAGATTAGATTTCGATTTGATTAGACTAGACTAGATTACATTAGAGTAGATACATAGTACGTACTAGTACTCAAAAAATATATAAAGATAAAAATCCCACTTAAATAGTGATGATTTTTTTCTATTTTTTGTCGTTACTTTACATATACATACATATATTTATATACATACATACATACATATATATATATACATACAATTGGGATTTCTCCCAGTTGAAATTCGGGAAACCAACGACGCCTTTTCAGCGAGGTCGAGGTCGCCAACAGGTCCAACGATACTTTTTCTGGCGGATCCCAGCTATTGATAATGGGTGATTTAGTTCGTTGCTTTACCCATAAAAAATGGTTATTTTCCATATGATCACCAGAGGGTGTATATATATATATAGTTAGGTAAAGCCACTATAAATCACCCATTATCAATGTTATTTATTGTTGTTTATGTTAGTTTACCAGAGGGTATATATATATAACCTTGGTATATAATGATTAATGATTAGGATATTTTTGATAGGTAAATCAACTATAAATGGGTCATTTTTCACTAGTTATGTTAGTTTACCGGATGGTAATACAAGCACGTCACCACCAAAACGTAGAAGTGCGTGGTGAACTGGGAGGTTGCACCGCCAGATGTCCGATTTTGTCCCCATTCCGTGGATTAGCCTCTGGTAAACTAACATGACTATAGAAAATTATTGTTGACTTACCCATCAAAAACGGTGATGTTCCATAGTTTTTTGTATGTTTACCAGAGGGTATCTGGCCATTTCACCCATAATCTGAGGATCAATCATTCCCAGATGGGTGGTTTGTGATTGTTTTACCCACACTATCCCATCTATAAATAGCTTCGAATCCCAGTGACCACTGACAAGCTGAGGTCTTGTTGAACACACCTGCGCACGCCGCAGTGGTCGCGCCCGACCTTGGGCATCAGGATCGGATGCACGGCGCACATGAAGTGAGGACCAAGAAAAATGGTGTTTTGATGGAGTGTACTGGAGTTTAAGTGGAATATAATGGGATACAATGGGAGAGAGATTAATAGACAGACAGATTGATCGATCAATCTATCGATAGATAGACAATGTAGATTTAATGGGTATAATGGGGTTCTCATGGGATTCAATAGGTATAAGGATCATGGGATGGAATGGATATCGTGGGATTTTTTCTCATGGAGATATGATGGAAATATGTTTTACCTACTTGAGGGCGCAGGAATCGGTGCAGATTGATGGATATAACTCGGTATAATCATAGATATAATCAATGGATTATTGGGATATAATCCAATATATTGCCTTATATAGCAATAATGGGATATAATAGGATAATATACTATAATATGGATATTCTTCAATGGCCATTTCAGGAACCGATTTATCGGAGGTACCTTCCATATATAAGGCCTAGAAAAAATGCCTATCTTTGAGGGAATATCCCCAGAAAATATGGCCAAAAATATGGTACAGTACCTCTATTTTAGGATCCTGAAATTCCCATTGATATAATGGCCTTGAATAAGTTGGTGTATAGCCCCAAGGGTACCATGGCTGTTTGCCCACTTATCACTCTGATTTGGTGGCTTATGGGGAAATGACATGAAGAGTTTGGGCCAGAAGCGGCATTGTTCCCACAGCCACGACCCACGACACACCATGAGCAGAAACCAGCAACCAGCGTCCTTCTATTTTCCCATTTTGCAACTGCCTCGCCGTCAATGATCAAACCTCCTAATTTCCACCAAAGCAACCACAAGTAAATCTGCAGGCGCCGAAGCCTCTCGTAACTGCTTGCGTTGTTCCTTTAGAACTTTGATCTCTTCCTTCAGCACCTGGCAATGAACATGTGCTGCCCCACCGTCTCTGTGCTGCAGTAGCGTCCGACCCGGCGCTGAATCCAGCAAACTGCGATTTCTTGCTTTGGCGGCGAAAGACTTCTTGAGTCACAGCTGAGACCATGGTAGAGTATTTCGAAACCTTGTGCAAGAATTTGGCACATGTGTTGCCAAATCGGCTTTGTCTGCTGCTTCTTGACGCATGCCAAGCTCATTTGCACAGAGCAGTGCTTGAAACAGCACGTGCCAGAAATTTGAAGGTGGTAGTTATACCGGCGCAAACTACACCTTGGCTGCAACCCCTTGACTTGTTTGTTTTCGTTCATTTAGAGAGAAGATGGACGAGCTGCTTGTGTCAACAAGATGTCAATCAGCCGATGGAAACTTGAGCCAAATGGCATGGCTGCGTGTCCTTAACGATGCTATACAGCAAGCTTTGATTGGGCACACGCAGAATGGTGTCAAAAACTGGCCAAGAAGGGTGATATGATGGGATCACGTGGTAAACTCAACAATAACCTCCATTTACGGATGGTTTATACCACCCATTCTCATGTTCCAATTTCGATCGCACAAATGCTCGGTACTTCAAGCCACCCAAAAATAAAGAATTTACCAAGCATAAATGGATACTAATGAGTTGGGTAATTCCATAAAATTACGCAAAAATGGAGGATTTACCCATTTTCGGTATACTTCAAGCAAAATCGGATTTTGTTGATTGATCAGCAAAGGTTGGTATATCCGCAATATGTCACTACTGTTTCAAATCACCTCAGCTACTTGGGATGATTAAAAGGGACAAAGCTTGAGGTCAACTCCACGTATTGCCGGTTAGAATCCTATGGTTTTCTACAAAAACCTAATGTTTCCGTGTGAAATCCTCATTTTTGCTGGTATCCGCCAGATGCGCTATGTGGCTGAGTCGCTACATACAGCCACCAGCGTTTTGTTGCAGGCTGTTGGGGGTGCGGTATAACCATGGATTATAAACCCCCATAAGTTGGGACATGGGGTCAGATAAAAATTCCATTTATAACTGGATGCACTTCCAAGTACTTGCGGATCCCAAAATATGATGGTCCATCATGGTTTTTGACATTGAAATTGACAGGGGTACGCGGTACGCAAATGCACATAAATTTGGTAATTGATCTGGAATGAATCCACGTTGAATTGGAATTGGTAGGTCGCTTCGTACACTTTGTTTGTGTAGCGTCAAGATATGATGTTCCATGCATTGGAATGTGATAATGTGGGGAAAACAATGTCATAAACCATCCCCCAGTCATCACCATTTTAATAGGTGGTATAAATTTACCATTCCCAGTCATGGTTGGTTTATGGCATTGTTTTACCCACATTAGTTGATTTTGATGACACATGATGACATTAGTAGTTTCTCTACGCTTGCTCCAGAGTTCCTTGGCTCAATCCGCCAATGTTGGTTACTCAATCCACCTTAGTCCAAAATATGTTGGTTGCCCAAATCACCTTTTATGATTTATGATGGGTAATTCCCACCTTTCATCCCCGGTGAAAACTCCAAACGGGTTCTTGAAACGGGGAGAGCCTCGCCTTCCCACCGCTTCGCCAGTCGGGGCCCATGGGTCCAATACTGCTCTCAGCAATTCTGGCGGCCAGCAAAGCCATGCGCAAACAGGCGCGCAGGTTTTTCAAGGCGAAAGGAACAGGCGAAGTTTCAAACACAGTGATGTTCAATACTATGTTTTATTCGTTTTTGATTGAATGTTCTTGTGTGTGTGTGCTTATTGGATTTTACTGGAATTTAATGGGGATTGATATGCGTATATCAGATTTTAATGTTTTTTAATGCGAGTTGATTGGATTTGAATTGGTTTTATGGTTAATTGGTTGATGACGTCTATAAATGACTTCTAGATTTTTATGAATGTTGACTTTTGGCTGCTGATCATTGGTGGGGTCCTTTTGTAGGAGCAAATTGTAGCAGGTTATCATAGTTTGATGTTTTGGTGATGAGACCCAGACTTAAGGAAACCAGGACTTATTAGTCCAGGGTTGACGTTAATGAATAGACTAGCTATATCTATACATGTTTTGGCGACGATTTACTGTTGTACGCCCTCCTGTAATCAAGGTGGTAGTGGGAAAATACCCAGACATGGAGATTTTAACGGGGGAAATCATCTATAGATGATGGATGTTCCATGTCTACGGTTGATTATCAGAGGGTGTACATATATTTATATACATGTGTATCATTGCATATACATACATACGTATATGTATACATGATATTTATATCTATAAACTTTTACTATAAACATATATGTATAAGTTTGCATATACATGATACGTATACATACACATTGTACCTCCCCATAGATCAAACGGATCATCTCCCAACCGCGCCAGGGAACGATCTCGCTGGGCGGAAATGAGGCTCTCAGTGAGTTCTGGGATGATGCCGCAGAAGAAGAATGGGGATATAGTGAGAACACCAATTTAATATCACTAAAGCAATAAACCACCCATGTTTTGATGGTTTATACCACCCCATTTATGGTAGAATCGGGGATGGTGAAAAAAAGTGTTTTGCCCACATCAAAAGTGAGTTAAGCAACAAATATCGTGATATAATGGAAATATGCAACGAATACTATGATCATCAGATCTGGGTGTGTCTGAAAATGTGGTATATCCACAAAAAACTGCTTTGTAATAGGAAAACTGATGAGTAATCGGTGGACTTAGAGGCGCTCTTTTCCCCACTTGTTTCACCAACCCATTTCTGGGTTTCTGGTAAACTCTGTTGCAACCATCCTGCTGCTTAAATGGTGATTGACAAGGGGCAGTTGCACCAGGAATAATCCATGGCTCCATTGGTAGCCCCAGAAAACCCGTCTCCCCGGTGTGTTTCCTCGATTTGGAAGCTCAGCTTGTCAGAGGAATTGGCAAAATATCAAAGATTATTTGAAACGACAGTGAAACAACAACAAGCCAATGGACACCCAAATTGTTGACAAAGCCAGTACCAGAGTGGAACCGACCCACAGACGCAATAAAAGCCAGGCTGGCGTGATGGTATGTTTCTTCCAGCGGTTTCTTGTTTCCAACCCTTCCAAACGGGGTAGAACTACGAGTCCAAGATGAATATAGATATACTACCCATGTGATAAAACAACGCGCCCTTCTAGCGATAACCAGTCAGTGAATCTAGGATTTGTCTAAAATCCATCACACTTTGTTTTTTTGTGTTTCAAAGTTACACAACAGAGTTGTTTCAATGGCTTAAATGGCTTATTTAACAGATCGCCACTGCAGGATCCAGCCCCAAGTTTTTTCAAGCAGCAGAGGCCTTGCTCTACGTTCAATCCTTCCAGCAGAAGGCGATTGCTGTGAACCAACGGGTTTCATGGGGCTTGTTATGGTGATCCAAAATAGGTAACTCCCCAGAAAGAAAAAGGGAATCCCGACATCAACCAGTTCAAAGGACACAGTGTAAACGACGAATTCGTTCCAGTTGTAGGATGAGGATGGTCATGGTCATGGAACAGGGGAACCCACAAATTTGCTGGACATGTCGCACACTCACCACTTTTGGCCATGATGTTGACCCATATCCCAATGAGCAGCGCTCGATTCAGCTCTTGTTCTCATGATTTTTCTGGGCACTAGAAGGCTTCAGTGGCATTGTCGGCTGACTGGTGTACTTGGGAAACATACTACTTGTCGGTTGTATCAGTTGTATGTTCATTTCTGCTGGTTTAATATTGATAAAATAAGTTGCGTGTAAGTTGCTAAACCCAATAATACACCTTCCCCAAAATCACCATAAAAGGGTTGAGTTTCAACCATCCCCAACTGGTAGTTGTTTATGGCAGCCAGGGTGTCCCACATTTCTCGCTTTCTGTCGGTAAATCATAGTAAATCCCTATATTTTTCGGTGAAAGACGATTGTTGTTCTCGGTTTTGTGAAGACACCAGATGTATGATCCTAGTGAAAACATGTGGCGGTGAATCAAAACCCTGGTCCTGTAGGCCAGGTACCCGAATTTCTGGGAGTTATGGATCTTGATTCCCCTAAATATGGTAATAATGATGGATTTCATGTCAAACATATTGAGTTTTCTTCTTGGGACAGTATACCCCAAACCTGGTCGAGGACAACAGCGCGTCCTCACTTGACGAATTACCCAGATTCCTTCAAGTTGTCGCCAGGGATGTTCACTGAGTTTCTTCCACAAGCTCATCGCTTGCAGTGAATATCGCTGGGGTGCGCCATCTGGGAAGCGGGGAATGGAAGCACGGTGCTAGAAACTCGGGACTTCATGGGGTAAGCAAAAGTTTGCAGTTCATCATCCAAGATGTGGATCTCACCAAACATATCCAAAATGGGGAGTTGACTATCAGATACAAAATTGAGAGGATGGCTTCAGATTTGGCACTTTGAACTCCGACTCCGGCGAGCTTGGAAAAATCTAGGGGCGTCATCAATGTGAAGATTTCATCAGCAGTGGGTCAGAATGATCTGCCCACCTCGATTCCTCGGTTCTTCCATCGTTTTCTCGCCATTTTTCTGGCTACCCAAAGGGGGAATCAAACATGGAAAATCCTTATTGACTTCGATGATTTGTCCATTGGCCCATTGAAGTTTCATGTAAAACTCCCATGATTTTCCCGTTTTCCATTGAGACCTCCATGGATTTCTCCAGTTTTTCATGGGGATTTCCTCCTGGAACTGGAGGGATTTCTCCCGTTTTTTGTTCGATCGCAGGCTCTGCAAGGCCCGGAGCTTATCTCCTGGTTGGGAGGGCCCAGTGGAGTGCCCAGGGCGAGACCGGATGTGAATCCTCGATAGGATCGAACGCCAATGGTATTGGGAAGATAGTTGTATTGGATCAATCATTTGTGTCAGGTTTTTTGTAGCAAGTGTGGGGCATCCTGGATGGCCACCGTATCAGCAAAAATGTGGATGAAACCAATCAAGATCGAGGTTTCTTTCATCAACAGGCAAACTAAGTTTGTCAAAAAGAACAACGGCAATATGGCCAATATGGCCCATGGTTACGATCACGTGGATTTCATCATCCATGTCAAAAGTGCAGTTGTTGACGACAAGATGAGGAAATGCATGGGTCCAACAAAGACTACGACTAGGATGTCACCGAATCGGTTAGTGTGTTTTTTGTTATTTGCTGATCCCGAATCATTAAATATTCTGGTAGGTTGAAACCACCAAGGATCAAAATTGCAGGTCGATGATCACCCGCTAACGTCAGCACCAAAAATTGCGATTTTGGGTCACACCACTTTTTCAGACACGCTCATATGTTGCCTTTTCATCATCTGATTTTCATAATCCCCCTACAACATCCTAAAACATCTCCAATTTTTCATACGTGTTTCTTTTGCCATCCTCGAAAGTTCAAAACTCATTTTTTTTGGGGCAAAGGATGATGAAATATCAGATTCTGAAAGCATACATTGGAGATCGATGCCAAATCCTTTGACTTCCCGAATTTCTTTGGCCAACTTGGTTTTGGCGCCCTATTCCCGTCACAGCATCCAGAAATTTCCCCTGCTAAGCTCAACAGCGTTGAGCCGGAGCTGAAAATTCTCCTACATGGCAAGGCGCAGTGATGAGGGCTGGCTGCTGGGGTTATCTCGGTCAACCGATGCGAAGGTTACCCTGGTTTTATATGGGCTGTGAGAAGATCTGCGAACTCGCTATTTTTTGGGGTACTGGAAATGTGATGATCGCATCCGGTACAAAAATAGCATGGATCAAGCAAAAGGTAACAATATACCGAAACGGTTCATTCTTTGCTACTAAATCATCCTTTTTAAAGGGGAAGTGGCAGCGTTTTGACCCATACCCAATGCTTGCGATGAAAACTGGTGGGTGAAATCCAAGGCAAAAACAGCCAACTGTTGCAACCAAATAACCAAATGACTAGCATCACCCGACCTGGAAGTAAAATTGGCACGAGGCTGGTTTGTAAGCGGATTTTAAAATATGTTTGAAAAAAAAAACTGCTTAAAGCCATGCAACAACATGCAGCAACCGTTTTGCGATCACTTTATTTACATCTCCCATTACTAGGGGTATACCCAATATAAAGCTCTATTTTTAATGGCCGTGGGTTTCCCACGTTAGTCATGTTGCCACAACAGCTGGCCAGGGACAGCGCAAGGGAGTGGAGGTGAACCGCTGGTGACTGATGTGTGACTGATGGGAGAGGGGATTGACAAATTTGTCTCATGTGGTAAACCCAATCAGAAATCAGCTGGCTTTCATTTATTCTACATCTGCGATATGCGAGCGTTCCAAACCTTGAAATCTGGGATGGTCCCAATTGACTTGCAGCAACCATTTTTCAGCAGCGGTTGCCCTGAGAAGCCCCTCATGAAAGTCCCAGGAAAGTGGTGAGTTTCCAGCAAGAATTCTCTACTTCCCTGGACATTGAAGGGAAATTCTTCGTAAGCAAAACATCGTTGGATTTCTCCGAAAATAGTTTACCCCACATTTTGATGGTTCGTTACCTGGCCTTTTTTACATGGCCACAACTGGAGCTACACCCCATTTTTCAGACAAACTCATGTGGAGATCCACGCTGCCGCCGTGTCGATGGGGAAATAAACCTATGAAATGACCATATTTTCTGGGATAAATATCAACCAGCTCTAGGGACTCCAGGGTAGGATCTCAGGGTGTTGATAGATGACAGAAGTTCACGGCCCGGCATCGCAGTCAGCAACCGGGATGTGGGGTGATAGTAGGGGGCTGATGATTCTGATCCATTGGAAAACTTACATAACCTGTATTTCATGGAATGATATTTGGGATAAACCCATCAATATCCCGAGTGTTTGTTAGTTCTATTCCTATTAAATCCTACTAAGAGTTACTTAAAGAAAAACATCAAAATCACAGTTAAATTACCATTAAATCACCATTAAATCCCATGAAATCCATCCCATCAACAACACCATCAAAATCATCGTTAAATCCCATAGAAATCTGTATTTTGCCGGTGAAAGTTAAAGATGTTCAGCTCCCCTGGTGTTTTTCCGCGCTAGGTTGGACCTGGAGCTGTACTGATGAAGCACTCGGAAGACGACAAGGCCGTCGCATGAGTTGATGAGTGCTGTCGGGTTGGATAGCCCCGGGGTAGCTCATGAAATCCCTCTGAAGATATTTGGTTGGTGGTTTGGAACATGTTTTTTCCATATATTGGGAATAATAATCCCAACTGACTTTCATATTTTTCAGAGGGGTGGCTCAAACACCTACCAGATATGTTTTTTTCAGATGTTGATCTGGAAATAGGATTGAAATTGCCATGAGTTAAGGGTATATCCCAGTGACAAACCCGGATTTTGATGCTATGATGCGACCCTTTTTAAGGTGTGATCAAGACCCTGCCGAAGTCACTATGATGCTTAAGGGAAAATTCAAAGTTGTCTCTTCCGTGTGTGAATAGGGGGTTGTAAGAATCTAAAATGGCGGATATTCTGCTCGCAGTGAATGGGAGTTATTAGCATCGCTATTGGCCGGATTGAGTGTCACGTCCGAGCCAGATGCCAGTACATCTATGCTCTTCCATTGTGGGCACGCTCATTGGGGAACAAACCAACTGCGTACTTAACTTCACTGAGGCAAAAAGCTGTTCTCGTTCTAAAAACTCGACAGTCTTGCCGTTTTGCAGCGACCGCCCTTTTGCTCATGGGGATGGACAGTTGCGCTATGTTTTTGGAGGGGACCGACGCATCGGAGAAAACCTCAGAGCACTGGTGGGATGTCTGCAATGGAACTCAACCTCAGAGCGGTGATGACCAGGTCATGGGACCCATCCCAACCAGCCAGCAGTGGAAGTGGGGAGATCCTACGCTGGGCGACATGGTTCCACAGCATTTGGAGTTTTTGAGGCGACTGTCAACTCCAGAATTGGGAGGAAATACGGCATCGCCACAAAAAACAATCCAGAAGATGTGCACAGGTTCTGCAGACAGCGGGGCCTTTTGTATCCGTATCCTTACTTAGCGTATGGGACTTCGGATTTGCTGAAGGCAGCTCGGGAACTCACTCTACTGGCGATGGACACTTCCAGAATATCCCACAATGATCTTACGGCCTGACATGACCTATACAAAAGTGCATGGTGCATGGTCTGTTTATGTTTCCTTGAACTTGAAGAAAACCTGGCTTCAATTCATTTGTTTCCTGACTGATAAGGGGTATCGATTTTTTTGGGACGATTTTGGTTTTGGAAGGTTTTCAGGACCAAGGCAACCTTAAGATCATGTGGGTATCTGTCAAAATTCTATCAATCCCCAAAATGAAAAATGCGGTAAACCCAATCATCAATCTCCCGTTCAGTACAATTTTTACCACCCATTTATGTTAATCTGCAGGATGGTTTATTATTCGGGTTTGCCTCATTCTGCTCACCCCGAGCCATGAAACCAAGCATTTTGTGAGGATATGATGGATTTGTACAGGGATTATATTAAAAGCTGCCATACAAATTCATAGAATCTCGAGGGGCCCCCTGGCTGATGGCACCCCGACTCCCATCATCCCACACGAAGGTCCTAATCGAGGAGTCCGTCACGTACATCGCTTGGAACGTGCGAAAGCTCACCGAGTTGCATGGCCCAAAATAGGGATGGACAGAACGTGGCTGGGGTTTCACCCCCGCACCAAAAATGGTATGTTTTAAAACGGGAATATCAACTGCATTAAATGGCGATATTAATCGGAAAATCCTTTATAAATGGAGTGTTTAATGGGAATAAATTGTCTATAAATAGGAGATTTCAATTGCTATGTTTGATTGCTTGAGTGCATTTGGGCACAAAAAACGAGCGGATACTTTCAGCGAGTCATTGGCTCCTGGTTTCGTTGTTTTCTAGCATACAAAGGAAAGATTATCCCCAATTATTGACATTTTGTCAGGGTGGTTGCAGCCACCAATCCATCATTGCCTGTTGATGGTTGATTGGGTGGTTTCACCATGTTTCACCGTCATACTGATGTCATTGGAATAAATGGAGGAGATCAAAGAGAAAAGGTACCCTCTGGTAAATTAACATAGCTATTGAAAATTGCCATTTATAGTGGATTTACCCATTAAAACTAGTGATCTTCCACAGCTATGTTAGTTTACCAGAGGGTAATCAAAGACGTGATGATTACCTAGAAATCTCCAGACAGAAGCAAATGACAACAGGTGAACCTGGTCATAATCCACACGGAAAGATACCACACCTATTAGTGTATCAGCCCATTCAAAAATAGCATGGAGCCCAAAGGTTTTTTTTCCATTGAAACCCATTCTTCGGGTTTTTTTGTGCATGCGTACTAGATAGTACATGGCAGCGGCGTTTACCTGGTGCCAAGGTCTGGAATTGAAAACATCAAGGTAATGGAATTGAACATGTGTAGATGCTGTAAATATATAAGCGGTGCACATTTATGACGATATCTCTTTAGGTAATCATATTGTTTGCGGTATGTCATATGTTGTGATTATCAGAAGAACTTTGATTGTTCTGATACTGATTGTCATGTTACATATATATATAGTTATTTATATATATATATAGTTATATATATTATATATATAGTTATATATTATATATATATGCAATTATTTATATATAGTTATATATATATACTTATATACATGTATATACACATGCCCCCGTGCCTGATGACAAGCCATCGCCATCACTGGCACTGCCCATTGGCGAGGTTGATCAAACATACGAAAGATCCTGCCCTGGTGAAGTTGGTTAGGGACATGATCCAGGAGCATTGCAATGTCTCAGTTGGATGGAATTTATGTCTACTCTTATGGAATAGGGGTAAATATGTGTGGTATAATTCCATTTCTACCTTGCAAAATATTGAAATTACAATGGCCTCACAGCAACCACGCTGATGATGGTTAGGATTTCGGAAACCACATCAAAAAGGACGACTTTTTCCAGTTTGGGGAACGTGTTGATTTTGCCATCCATCTGTAGATCATTTTCCTAGGGTATATGCCATGATGTTGATCAACAGGCTGATTCTCCCAATGATGCCCCTTTGGGAGAGGGTGTGTGATAATCCAATGATAAATGTTTCTGTTTATTGGAAGCGTGATATAAGGAGAAAATTCGTGGAACTGTGATTGAAATCATCACGGTGGGTTCCCTAAAATAGGAATGCTTCCAACAATAAACGGTGCACCCCGGTAAAACCAACTCATCTTAGACGTTCAAGCGATTGGTGAATGGTTGCAGCTTAGGTCAGTGGCTGAAATATTCTGATGATGGATGCTGATGGTAGATCTGATTTGGCAATCTGTCTTTCCATACGAATCGGATGAACCTCTATTCACCAAAACCATCTTCATCCAGTCGAGGGTTGAAGATGGGAAGCTACGATGATAGAAGCAACATGGGCAAAAAACGTACAAAAAAACAAGTCAAGACAAGGAGATAACAACATGGGGTTCACCCCAAACCGCTTCCTAAATCATTCGGATGCTGGTTTCAGGAGGCAGATCCTGGATATGCTGATTTCGATGAGAAGGCCCAGCTCCAAATCAGTGGTTGAACGTTCAAAAAGGGGCAAAAGACAGGGGGCAAAAGGAGGGAAATCTATCAATCAAACTATGTTCAGCACAAAATCATCAGAATATCAACAAGAATAATCATCAATCTCTAAAACTCGACTGTAGATTTTGACAAAGCGCCATCAACACAACCACAAAAACTCTTCCAAAAGCTCTTCATCGGTGGATTCAGTCGCAGGATTTCCTTGTCCAGGGGGTGACAATGCGATAAAGAATGAGGTGGTTAACCACCTCAAAAATAAAAACCAAACGAAATGAATGGCTAGAGTATCTATCTATCAGCCCCATGCAAGGATTGGTTTCTATAGCCCCTATCTAGAGTAAAATGATATACCCTCTGATTATTTAACATAGCCATGGAAGCCATGGCCCATTTAGGTCGATGCTTTACCTATTAATAGCATGGTGATTTTCCATGGCAAACTGTTGGTCATAACCAGATGGTAAAATGGTATACCACCAACCAGATTATTACTAACCATCATTAACCATATAATAACCATATGGCATTGGGATTTTCCATGGCAAACTGTTAGTCATAACCAGATGGTATCTACATTGCATCTACCAGAGGTTCCATGGAGATTTTGCACAGGCGAGTGAACGCCCCAAAAGCGTCAACGGCCTGCTGTCAGCCCTGAGTTTCTGGACGGAGCTGGTGGAGATGGGGTGGTGTGGTAAACTCCCTGCCATAAACCATCCCGGAAATCACCAAAAATGGCTGGGATATCAACCATCCCCAAATGGTAGGTTTATGATTGGAGTTTTACCACATTGTATCACATCAAAAACTCCAAGATTGTCATTTTATGCTGGAAAACGATAAACACAACCAATATGTTGGGGAAAAGATGATCTATACCATCCTCGAAAAGCGTGTCTATCTTTTTGGGTGTTGCAATATTGACGATGGTACCCCAGTGTCCCCAGCCATGGATTGAGGTGAAGCGGTGGAACTCCAAGCAAAGCGTAAAGGTGGGCCAGGGGAATCCAGGAATCCTTGCTATGAAGCGTCTAAGTATAAATGAATGTATAAATATAGCTATGCTATGATTTGATATGTATTGATATGATATGATATATGAATATATATATATATATATATATACATACCTATGATAAATGAATGTATAAATCACATACAACCAATGATTTTTTGTGTGAAGAAAGTGACACCAACTGTCCGTAAGTTTGGGTCCCCAAATTTCACCAAAACCCATCCAACCCTTGTGCCTCGCCGTGGCAAGGCCTTGCCATGTGTTGCTTGGATTGATGGGTGGAACGCCAGAATCGACCCGTTGCCGTCGACCATGGTTAATGGGAACATCCACGCGAAATCAAGATTTCAAATTGTGTGTTTCTTGGGAAATACATGAACCAAATATGTAGTGTCCGGTTTTGCGGCACTTTTTGGCCCATCCAACCCTTTTGTGGACTAGCTTTGCCTGACCACACCCTCCGAAGCCCACTGGCTATCAATGTTTATACCAAAATTGCGTCACATGGAGTCTAAATCCTCCATTTTTTCAGGGGTCACACATGGTCAAACCCTGAGGTTATCAATTGGTGGAAGGTTTACAGCGGCTCGTCTTGAACACGAATACCACAGCTCGAGCCCCTTGGCTGCGGATCACCCGATCCACGCTGGCTTCTTCCACCTTGGTTGTTATGACGGGATATGATGGGTGTAACATACGCTTTCCTGTTTTCCATCACTGGAAATATCCACTTGTTTGCGAACAGAAAAGTTATGTTGGTAGCACGGGAGACTAAGATCGGCCATGGTCTGGGCACGCGTGCGCTGGCTCAATCGTGCAGTCATCTTTTGATTGCACAGTCCATGCTGGCAGGTCCCCAATATTCGCAACGACAACGTAAGGCAATCCATCATCCATCATCCATCATCACCATCGTCACCATCACCATCACCATTGTCATGGTCAGTGTCATCACCATCATCATCCTCATCCTCATCATCCTCATCCTCCTCGTCGTCGTCGCCGTCGTTGTCATCGTCGTCATATTTACCAAAACTGACGGCAGGAGAAGATGTGCCAATGTCGAGCTTTGCTCCTGGAAAGCGGGGGAGCTCAGCTGAGCGCTATCCGCAAGCTGATTTTCCAGCTGGAGACAGGTTCATGAAAACATAGCGGGTGATGTTGTGACTTTGTAAGTTTCTTTGGGGGTCTTATCATGTCGTGTTGGTGGAGCGATTGTTGATGTCCTACAAAAGATCGACGTGTCTTACGGAAGTATTTGAGCTTAGACTTTCACCATGTGATAAAGGTGGAAAGACACTGTGTGAGTTTTTTCACCGTGGAAACGTGGGCACATTTGGGTGTGCCTTCTTAAGAGATCCACAAATGGTCAGTGAGTTGATTTCAGCCAAGTGCCATTGTCATTGTTGCGCTCTACAATCCATTGCGACATATTCTGCATTTGATGTTTATACAATATGTGTAGTGTATGTGTAAAATAAAACAAAATATGTATATATGCACATATATATATATAATTATATATATACATATATACATATTATATATATACACACAAATATGTGTTGTGTGTATATGGAACTAGATGTGTTTTGATTGTTGTTCGCACCAGCCGGCAGTTTGCTTCGTGCCCAGTTTTTTAAGTCCTCATGATTGGCTGAAAAGAAGAGTGTAAATGGTTACATCCCCAATGTCGTTTCTAGAATTTCATTCTCTTGGTGGTTATATGTTCCTAAGATCGCCTTTAGGCGCAGACGATTTGATGGAAGGTTTGGAGGCCTGGGAGCCGGGAAGCTGCACCGGGCTTCCCGGTGGTGTCCACATCTTTCGGGGGCCAGGATGCAGAAAAGTGTGGCTGTAGATCAGCAAATGACAAATGCTCATTGGTGCTTTGGAACATGAATGGATTTTGACTTTCCATATATTGGGAATGTCATCATCCCAACTGACGAACTCATATTTTTCAGAGGGGTAGGTATACCACCAACCAGAATATTATTAGCCATCATCAACCATATAATAACCATATATCAACCATTACTAACAGTATATTCCATCTAAATAGAACCATGTGTATGATGACAACCAGGCAGTTTTGGGAGATGATTTTTGCACCACTGGACAGCAGTTCTAAGGCATTTTTGGACCACAATCACCGGTGCAAAATCTAGCGATGATCCTCAAGGTACCACTGATTGTGCTACTGCTACAAATTTACAAAGACCTAGACAATTAGACAGAAATAGAAAGTGATAGATTGGACTGGATTGGATTGGATTCGATTAGATCAGAGATGATGGATAGATTATAGACAGACTAACAATGTCACAGTAACGTCACTGTAGAGATGGTGGTTGGATAGACGGAAGAACAGCTGAAAATCACACAGCAGTCAGCTTGGTGAATTTTAAAATTTAAAAATTAAGCCAGATAGATGATGTACATAATTTGTACATAGTTTCTTTGATGCACTATATAATATTAATATATAGACCCATTTGTTTGGCTCCGGTTTGGTCGATGTTTCGACATTCTAGTGCTGGAAAAAATCACTATAAGCTGACCTTATGTGACTATTGTTGAAGACAATCAATGATGATTGTTTTCATATGAACCATAGCAGCAGATATGAAATTCAGTGTTATCATTATCATTCTGACTATGAACATTCTTATTCCTGTTACTATTACTTATTATTGTTTTCAATTTCACTTGTTATGATTATTACACACTATTACCAAGATCTTTTCATGGCATCGGTTTTATATATGATTGCTACATAGTATACATAGGATATAACTAAAAAAACTAATATATTATGATTGCTACATAGTGTATGATTGCTACATAGTATATAACATTAATATACTATTGCATCAAATATATGTTTTGATGGATCTTGTAATCCCCGCGATTCCGCCCATTCCGACAGGCTTTAGCCGATTTCGCTGGAGCTTTCTCAGCCTTAGCCGTTCTTCGGAGCGGACGTGGTGGACATGGCAGGGATAGAAGTTCTGTGCAACCATTGGCTAAAGGTTTGACTACCAAAAAATGCGACAAAAGGGGATCATCAGCATCAAAAATGGGAATATTGCCATCAATGTAAGTGACAGAAGCATCAACAAGGGGATATTTGTCAGGATAAATTGTAACGATGTCACCACGACATGACTAGAAATGCTGGGAATTGGAATGGAATAATTATCCCAAAATACCGAACTGTTCAGGTTTGTGACTTGCTACGGTACCAATTTGAGGAGAAAAAACGTCAAAAATGGGCTGAAATCTCAGCTGATTCAGAGATGCAGAGGATTGAGGTCCCCATCTCTATCACTGGTTGACAATTGGGAATCCGCAATGCCATAAACCAGCCCCAAGTATGAGTCACGCCGGGGATGCTACAAATTCTCTGATCGAAGGAAGTTTAGAAGTCAAACTTCCGACAATATGGACAGATGAAAAGCAGAGCAGGGAGGAGGCAGAGAGAAGAGAAAGATTAGAAGAAAGAAGAGTAAGAAGAAAGAAGATGCAGATGCGTGAAAAGGTAGGAAAGTCGCAAAACACTGTGTTTTTCCAATGATTTGGGGCTCCGGAGGGTCGAAAAGTAGGCTCGCTAAAGCGGCGGAGCCAGCTGGCCAGATAAGAGATGAAAAATTGCACGCCGTTGTGGCGCGAAGCACATTTGCAAGTCAAAACGCACAAAACACCTGGTGCTCGGAGCACTCTTGGAAGTTGAGATGTCGAAAAAATGCACGCCGTTGTGGCGCGAAGCACATTTCCAAGTCAAAATGTACAAAACACACCAGGTGCGGATCACTTTTGGCAGTTGAGATGTCGAAAAAGTGCACGCCGTTCTGGCGCGAAGCACATTTCGAAGTCAAAATGTACAAAACACCTCAGCGTCGGACCGCTTTTGGAAGTTGAGATGTCGAAAAAGTGCACGCTGTTGTGGCGCGAAGCACATTTCCAAGTCAAAATGTACAAAACACACCATGTACGGACCATTTTTGGAGGTTCAGATGTCGTTTCGCGTGGCAGGCGCAAGGGATTGTGGACCTTGTCAAAAGTGACCAAAACATGAGGGTTTTGTAGCATTTCCAAAAATGATGGCAGGCATGGGACATTTGAAGAAGATCTGCAAAGATGCATTTTCGTGGCAGGCGCAGTACAAAAGACATGTTCATGAGAGATGTTAGGAGGTCAGGGCGCTGATTTCCTGAGAGGGGTTGCATTTTGGAGTATCAGATGTGCAGGTTTGCTAAGATGATTTTGCGTAACAGGTGCAGCACTTCGTATGACCTGGCATCAATTTTTCGTGGCAGGCACAGTACGTTAGACAGGTGGACTGGAAAAATCGCAAAACGCATTGGCACGAGTCTGTCAGCTCTGCACAACTTTCCATTTTTGAAGGAAGTCTCGCAGAATTCTTTCGTTTTTGATGTCTTGAACTTCGAAAAATGAGGAAGTCTCGCAGAATTGCTTCGTTTCGGACGTTGTTATGTTCAAGCATTAAGGAAGTCTCACAGAATTTCTTCTTTTTTGATCTTGCAGATAGATAGATAGATAAATAGATAGATAGATAGATAGAAAGATAGACAGACAGACAGAGATATAGATCGATAGGTGGACAGATAGACAGATAGACAAATAGATAGAGAGGCAGCTAGATAAATAGATAGATAGATAGATAGACAGACAGACAGACAGATAGACAGACACATAGACAGATAGTTAGATACCAAGATAGATATACAGATAGATAGATAGAAAGATGGACAGATAGACAGATAGATAGTTAGATTCCAAGATAGATAGATAAATAGATGGATAGATGATAGATAAATAGATAGATACAAAGATACATAGACAGATAGATAGATAGATAGATAGACAGACAGAGATATAGATAGATAGGTGGACAGATAGACAGATAGATAGATAGACAAATAGATAGAGAGGCAGCTAGATAAATAGATAGATAGACAGACAGACAGACAGACAGATAGACAGACACATAAACAGATAGTTAGATACCAAGATAGATATATAGATAGATAGATAGATAGATAGACAGATAGATAGATAGATAGGTAGGTAGATAGATAGATACTAGTAGACAAATTGCTAGAAAACTAGACAGCTAGATAGATAGATAGATAGACAAATAGCTAGAAAACTAGACAGCTAGATAGATAGATCGGGAGATAGATAGACAGACAGATAAATAGATAGATAGACAGATAGATCAGTAGGTAGGTAGGTAGATAATCAGAGAAAGATAGAGAAACGGAGAGAAAAAGAGAGAAAGAGAAAAAAGAGAGAGAGAGAGAGAGATCAAGCACCTTTCAGTCCATCAGTGGCTTCGCTCTGCCATCCCTGAGTCACAACAACCAACATCTCCTATAGGTTTCCCATTTTTGAAACTTCCGCCACCGCCTGGTGCGGTACTACTGGTATCTAGTTGATATAGATATCTAGTGACAACCATTATTATATATCTATATACATATATTAAATTTTACAACACTGGATATATTAGATCATTCATGATGAGTTGGAATGTAACCAAAAAAAATATACAACAAGGAGATGATCTAGTACTATGTATCTCCCCATTGAGCGCAAAAATGTATTTCTTCAGATACCGAGGATATGATCTAGGCACGATCGGATCTGCATGGTGCAACACAAAAAAGGAAAGCTACTGGAACTGCAAATGTCTTAATCCTGTTTGGGACTGCGAGATGCGTTTGAAGCTATGGATTTTTTCCATATGAATTGGCTGATGAAGATCCATTTGGCCATTGGCAATTGTTGATCTTCATGGTGCCAGCCGTATATCCCTGGCAGAAGGGTCCCTTTCTCCAAAGTTGGGTCTGCAATCATAACAGTACTTAACCGTAAACCATGTGTGTAATCAAGTTCTGCGGCAAGCTATCAACCTAGTTATACCATATCCGAAATGTCTCTGTTCCATCACTTTTGATGAAATCCACCCTGTTCTTGGTCAATATCTTGATGCTAAATATACCATCAACATGGGAGCGCGCTCTCCATTTTTCGTTTCAGATTCATCTGGGGGTTTCCAAACCATGGGTGTACCCCCAATGATTTCCTCCCGTTTTGGGACCCGACGCCGAGACGATCATCACCCACGCGGGCGACGGCTTGTCCACGGACGAGGTTGTGCAGTTGGCTCCGATCCTCGGCATGGGGGGTGCCCCCAACAGCTGGATGGCATTTCTGCAGGGTACCGTACCCAGGAATAAGTTGGTTTATAATCCCCAAGCAGCTATAGAAATCACCATAAACCCTAGTAAATCTAGTACATTATTACTAAATGTGGGTAAAACAATGTCATAAACCACCTATTTGAGAATGGTAACTATACCACCTTTAAAAATGGTGATGATTGGGGGATGGTTTATGGCATTGTTTTACCCACATTAGTGGAAAATCCTCTGAAAATTTGGGATACCCCTATTTCAGGAAACCTCCATATTATATCTTCTTGTGTCCGTTCACTACTTGGGGGTAGCCCTATATGATACCTGGTGGTAGCCCTATTTTGTCGGGAACCTCCATTTGTCAAAATGACAGTATGATTGTGATATTGTGGATGGCTGCGACATCCTGCACCAGTTGGTAACTATGAAAGGTTACTATGAAACACTGTAAAGTTCATAGGACTATAATGGGATGATTATCTCATCTACCAACTGGCGCAGGGTTTCGCAACCATCCACAGTATGATGGGGTATATCAGCAATAATATGACACGGGGATATTCTGGCTGTGTCACAGGGAAGGTTCGCCCTCCATTTATTGCCAGTTTAAGTTTGGGAAAGCAGCCATGAATCGGCAGTAAATGATGTTGTCTTGGCCATTCGGGGACGACAAGCTACACTGTAGCTACACCCTACACCCCACTACAAATCAGCGATTTGTGCAGGGTATCTTGCTACATCAGAAAATGCAAGAGCAGCTGTGAAGCGAGCTAAAAGTACTGTATGAAGAGTATGAAGACACAGATGGTTGCTCGCATCAAAGAACATGGATCCAAAAATGGAGATAGGCCCCCAAGTTTTGGCCATTCAATGGGTATGATGAACCATTAAGGTTGGGGGGCGTATGTCGCCGCACCTCCCGGTTGCATGCGCGAAGGAAAACGCCAATTGGATTGGCTGATTTATTCCATCCTTCTACCCATTGTTTCGTCTCTGTTTTTCCAAGGGTTTTCAAAGGCGCACCAGCTCACCTAAATTTGGTCAAGTTCTTCATCAAATAGGGATGGATCATAGATGTCCTCGGCTACAGGTTGTTCATGCTTGCCAGCTTGACGATTGGCAAGACGGCCAATTCCATTGCTGGCGATGCCAATGAAGGAATGTCCGGATAAGACCCTGCCATCTCTCAAGATCATGTAACTGTTGATGGCAAATCCCAAAAATCGGTATACTTTCGGCGCAAAAATCACCAAAACTGAGCCACTTTGCAGGTTGGTGCACTAAGTTTGAATATATGTCAGCCATAGCTAAGCCACTATATATCGACTCCTGGAAACGACCATGATCTGAGATAGCCAGCATTCTGGCACAGCGCTAGCTGATCCAATTCATGTTTGCACCACGCTGCACTTCAAGCACACATTTCAGCGACGTGCCGGTCGACGCAAAAAAAGTTGGAAATTTTCGAAAAAAAAAATCCTGGTGGTTTTCCACGATGATTGAAATTCGACTTTCGGATGGCTCAACACAGATCCTGGGGATCGACTCCGACTCAGATATGGTTAGGTTTCAATATGCTCCCTGAATGGGATACCAGGTAGCTCAAGGCAGTGACTTGGGATGGATCGTCGGCCTACGCAACATGTGCTTGAATTGCGGCCTGCGACATGGAGCCGGCCAAGCTTAGCTTCTCTGGAAATGGATTCACTGGGTAACATATGCAACCTAACTAGTGATATGTAAGAAAAAACGATGGACCCAAACAGATCCAGCTTCACGACTGGGGCCATGCGCCAAAGATGTTGGGGTCTTGAACTGACAACTTTTCGGGGTCGGCAGTTCTTTCACCAAAAGTCCCAAAAAAAAACAACAGTTCCAGACAGTTCCAAGCGAGTGGCCACAAGTGGCCGCTTTCCGCGATTTCAATTTCCACCCTCAAAGCAACCCCTCTGCTTAAAAGTCCCCCCCAAAAAAAAAACTTCCGCAAGGGCGGTTTGTCTGCTTTTGTGGCCACCGGAGTGGCCCGTCGTGGTCGTTGAGAAGCTGAGCAACGGTTTCGGTGACGTTTTCCGTCCACTATGGACCGACCAGAATTCGCAGAGCTTTCGAGGATGCTATGCCTCCGGATGCCAGCTTGGGCCTTTCGGCCTTTCGGCCCCCAGTGTACATGATCCATATAGATATCTACAAACATATGTATATAATATATATATATATACATATGTATATATATATATGTATATATATATATGTATATATATATATACATATGTATATATATATGTATATACATATATATATATGTATTTACATATACATATATATATGTATATGTATATATATATATGTATATACATATATCTATGAGTAGCTACCTACCTATGTTCCTACTTGTATTCCATACCATTACCATACCACTACCAGTATGCCAGTACAGTATGAGTACAGTACATAGTACATTAGATTACCTACATATTTACATGCACATGTATACATATACACATGTATTCACATACAAACACATTCACACATACATGTACAATGATACTCACATGCACACCGATACACATTTACACATGCAATATACACAGCTACACCTAGACTAGACACGCATACACTTTTATACAGTGCACGCATACCATTTTAGATGCACACATGCAAATGCTAATACAGATAGATATACATGCATAAAGGTAGATACATGCATTGTATATGTGCATGTTCATATACATGTTGGGTCAAATCATATGTATAGATAGATTGGACTAGATTATATTACATTCGGTTAGGTTGCGGCAGGTTAGGTAGATAGGTCACTAGATAGATGGCTAGATAGATTGGTAGATGGATAGGTAGATCGATAGCTCAATAGATCGATAGGTGGATAGATGGATGGATAGATAGATTGAAAGATCGACAGATAGATAGATAGATCGATAGATAGCTAGATAGCTAGATAGATAGCTAGATAGGTAGGTAGATAGATATGCATTTAAATTTACGCGTATGCATATTCAGAAACAATATACATATACACATACATACAGATGTTGTTGAATGTTCCCAGTC